ACGTATCACAAATTGGAGGGTTTGACGGCTGAAGTGATAAATGACGTTGTGTGCAAAAATGCAAAGGTATCCCTTTCCTAGTTGCATCATAAGTATGACCACAAAATTTTGTCTTTAAAAGCCTTTTGTGTTTACTAACTGAACATCTACAGTAACATCCATCTTTGCCATGAATCTCATGAAGGAAAGATTTTGTAACAAAAAGATCGCCAAAAGTTACTGAATTAAGTTGAGGGCACATAAAGATTAGCAAGAATAAGATGTATTTCACGTTAAGCTTGACATTAACCAATCACAGCGTAGTTAGGGCAAATATATAATATATAAACTGCATTCAGGGTATTAATAAGCAGTAATTAACAATATCATAGGTTCAGATTGCACTCCATCCTCCTCATTCTCAGGTTCCACCTCTGGTTAGAAAATGTTCCTGGTTGAATGTCATGGGGTATCCGTGTTGAATTGTTCATAAATTAAAGTCGAAGAGCTTTGTGTTTCATTTGGCAACAGCATGCCGCATTAGAACACTGTTCAGTTTCTCTAGCTTTTTTATGTCCTGTTGTTGCTCTGTTCTGTACTTTAAACACTGAAAGATGAAAGAAAGGATGTTTATAATACATTGTAAAGCAGAGTAAAAGTGCAGCACTAAAGCCACACAGCCTCACACCGTCGCAGGTTCTCATGGTTTTCATAGCGTTAAGCAACAGGTAGGGAGGTTACTCCCAAATTTTTGTCATGCAACCCTAACACTTTGCAAAAGGGCATTTATACTCGTACAGTGTACTACAATTATCTGTTGAGTAAGGCGTGATGGAAGTTTGGTGACGAAGTTTTGGCCTTAACATTGCCATGTTGTCACAGGCAACTTGACTTGTTTCCATTAGAAACAATATCAACAGCCATGCATTGCCTGTCACATCACGTACAATTTTGTGCACTTTGCTGCCAGTGACATCAAAGGCCAACAAGTTGCCACTGGAAACGAAGCCAGTTGCCCTGGACAACAACACGATTTTAATGCTACAACATGGTGACCAAACTTTCATCGCACCTTACTCAACTGATAATCATAGTAGCTGCCATAGTGAGAGTAAAGTGTGATGCGCAAGCACAAGGCAATGACCTTTGCCAGAGCTTGACACCCTGCGCTGATCTGGAGTCAATGAGAAAACCATTAGGCTATGGTTTAACAGTTTTGTTTGTTATCATAAGTTGTTGTTTTAGAGAGTTAAGTCCCACAGGTCTTCACCTAGCCTTGGTAGCAAGAAAAAGAATCAGGAGAATGGGAGGGGGGAGGAGGAAGGGCGATATTTTTTTCCAGAACCACTGAGTATACTTTGGAACTCAAACTATTTGAAAGGTATGATTTCCTTTGAAAATTCACACAAAATCACTACATGTACATGTTTACTTCTTAGTCTGAATATTACAAAGCTTCTCAAAGGCCAAGGTCCTTTGACTTTTTCTCTCCTGACTTACTTTATGCTCATTAAAATTTAGCAGATGGGAAGCTATGGAATTAAATTAAATTTTTCAGGACAAAATAACCAAGACTGATGAAAACCAGAATATGAACATCAAATGCATAAAAATGTCCCCATTTCACGATCAATAAGCTTACTTCTTTTAAAAAAATTCTTTTCAGTTGATTGTTTACTTAACATCACTAGTTTATCGATAGTTACCACTTGGTCATCCGTTCCTTTGAGGACGAGTTTCCCGTCACAATGGCGATACTTAACAACAAAACGGAACTGAAATAAACAGTTGAAAATATAATCTCAAAGTTTTGTACCACGTCAGCGAGTTGAATCAAGCACGTGTTGTAAAAAGTGAAGTTATAAATTGTATCGCGAAATTGTATACTAATCTAACACATTGCTCACCTTTCTTGGTTCAGCCACACACAATTGTTCAACTGCTGCCGCAAATTCATCCCAAGAATCAAAATAAACCATGTTTAACACTATTTCTCTCGCTAGTTCTCTCACGTAGAAGTCGCCATTTTCGAAATATTTCTTTTTATCCCC